AGATATATGAACAAACTGACAGACAGACAGACACAGGAATAGACAGATACATGAACAAACTGACAGACAGACACAGGGAGTGACAAACAGGGTGAGACAGCTAAACATAGGCACAGACAGACACAAGCACTGATAGACTGACAGATACTGACACAGAGAGACAGAGCAATAAACAGTGTGATAAAGATACAGATTGACAGACAGACAGTTACAGTGACAGACAGAGACAGAGAAAATCAGACAGAAACAGACAGACACAAGTGCAGACATAAATACACAGAGACAGAAAGACAGACAAAAAGACAGACAGGCAGACAGAGGGGTAAACAGAGAAAGACTGACATACATACAGATACCAAGACAGAATCAGAGACAGATACAGACACAGAGACGGAGAGACAGGATGTAGGCTCAGAGACAGACACACAGACAGATAGAAATTAAAAAGAGACATGACACTGACCAAGAGACAAATAGAGTCAGTCAGAGACAGACAGAAAAACTGATAAATAGACAGTGAGACAGACAGGCAGACACAAAGACAGGAACAGACAGACATAGAAGCAGACACAGACAGACTGACAGGCAGAGGGACAAACTGACAGACAGTGAGGCAGACTGGAAGTTAGACTGACAGAGATACAGAGAGAATAAAAAAACAGATAGAAAGAGATAGGCAGAAAGAGAACCAGACAGACTCACAGACAGAGGGATAGAAACACAGAGAGACAGGCAGACTCAAAGACAGAAAGACAGACAGACAAATATAGAGACAGACACAGAGACAGAGAGACAAAAGAGAGAAAAAGCATCACACAGACACTTAGCCATACTGACACAGAGACAAAAGACAGACAAAGGCAGACAGAGACAGAAAGACACAGACAGACACAGATCAAAAACATACAGACACTGACAAAGAGACACACAGATACAGAAACAGGAATACACATAGAGAGACATAGACAGCCAGAAACAGAGACAAAGATAGACAGACAGACTAGACAAAGACAGATAGGCATAGACACACAGGCAGAGCGGCAGACAGACACAGAGACTTATCACACGTGTGTATCATTATACCAGGTTAATCACAGAACTTCATACAGGACAGGTTAGTACTTTTCCTACAGCTACACACCCAGCCCCAGTGTACCATCACTTTCTGATAAAAGTGTCCCTTGTCTACTCTCCTTGGCCAAGAACTTTAGGGAAGATAGCAAGCACTTGAAACCACGTGAAAGCAGCTATGGGCATGCTGACGGAATAAAACGCCACAAACTTCCAGGCATCTCTTAGCACAGCTACTCAACTGTATTGTGACACATTTACAGTTCTTAGACACCTTTCTTTGTCCTTCCAGACCCCTTCTCTCAGCACTATGGGTGGCCTTGTGACTGGGGCAGATAAACAGACCCAGATGGCCACCAATGTTGGCATGCTGAAGGTACTGGGCAGGCCCCTGAAACACCCAGTGTTCTCTCTTCAGAAGGATGCTGCCTGGGCCATGAACAACATAGCTGCTGGTCCCAGACACCATATCTATCCGTTGATTATATGTGATCTGCTGCCTCCATTGGTAGCCCTACTACAGAATGTAAGTGGCAAGTACGGGGAGAGAGTCTGTTGTACAGACGTGAGGATCTGAGTTCAATCTCCAGCGTCCACATGAAAAGAGAGATAGAAGTAGGATAGTCAGAAGTTCAAAGTCATGTTTGACCCACATAGTTGCAGTAAAGCCAGCCTGAGCTATATAAGACCCTGTCTAAGAAAAAATAAAAAGAAAATTCTCTGTGGGAATCGTGCTGCCTGCTTCGTGGCTTCTCTCAGACGCTGTGTTCTGATCAAGAACTGAAGGCAGGGTGTTAGGGTGTTGGACATAAATTTCATGTGTAAGCTCAGCTCTTACAGCTGACCTAGAGAGTGAACCAAACCAGGTCTGGTGCTACACACCTGCAATCCCAACACTCAAGAGACCGCTGCAGGAGGAATGCAAATGAGGGCTTGCCTAGGCTACATAGTGAGTCCTAGAGTCCCATTTTTAAAAGCTAAAACAAAACGAAAGATGGAGGGCGTGGTTTATTTTGTAGAGTGCATGCCTACCATGCACAAAGCCCTGGGGCTGACTGACAGCACCACAAATACTAGGCATTGTGGTGCTCATCCATAAAGATGGCATTTGGGAGTAGAGGTAGGATACTCAGAAGTTCAAGGTCCTCTTCAAGTTGGCGGCCAGCATAGTCTTCATGAGAGTCTATCTCAAAAACGAATAAAAACAACAACAACCAAAAAGTAATCAAGCAGCATCACTTTATGGTGGTCCTTAGGCTCATGGAGACCCCAAACCTCTGTCTTTGCAGACAGAATTTAAAGTCCAAAGGAACCTGCATGGCTAATTTTGTAACAGGGGATTCTCAGTGCAAGCTGACCATTCTTGTCCACTCAGGAATCTTGGAGCCGCTGCTGAATCTGCTCACTGCCCCAGACATGGAGGTCCTCCTCCTCCTCCTCCTCCTTTCTCCTTCTCCTCCCCTCCTCCTCCTCCTCCTCCTCCTCCTCCTCCTCCTCCTCCTCCTCCTCCTTCTCCTTCTTCTTCTTCTTCTTCTTCTTCTTCCTTGACATAGTTTCTCATTCCCTTCATGAGAATTATTATGATCGGGCAGTCCCCAGCTGAAGACACTGAGTCTGCTTCTTAGTAACATGAGGGAGTCGCTTAAGGGGACAAGAAGGCTCAGTATGTAAGGGTACTTGCCACCAAGAGAACTGACCCCTGCAAGTTGTCTGACACCCGCACTGTGCAATGGTGTGTGGATGCACACACAATGGGGAAGGGGGTGAGAGAGAAAGTGAATGTTAAAAAAGTTTAAGAAAAACAACACAAGTAGGTTGGGCTGGGATGTAACTCATTTGGTAGCACGCCACCCTAACAGAAGCTATGGGTTCCATTTACAGCACCGCATAATCCAGGCTTGCTGGTACACGCCCATCATCCCAGCACTCGGGAGGCAGAAGTGGGAGGGTCAGGAGTTCAAGGTCATTCTCAGCTATACAGCATCTTAGTGCCAGTCTGGGTTACATGAGACCCTGGATATGAATGAATCAATCGATCCATCGATCCCCAGTATGAACTATTGCCATTCTTCCCACTCTCTCCACATGCTGTGGATAACACAAAGAAAAAAAACATTCAAGAAAAGGACTCCAGTCCAGGCTTGGCGGTGTTCAGCTGTCATCCTAGCACACAGGAGTCAGAGGAAGGAGGCCATGAATTTGAGGGCAGCCTCAACTAAGTAGCATGTTTTCGAGGCTATTTTCTCACAGGAGCCCTTTTGTGATAAGTGCTCAGAACCTACCTGTTCAAATTCCTGTTCTAGGGAGCATGTGTGTGACTGACAGAGGGAGACTGCAGGCATGTCACAGAAGAAAGTCAGACTGAATAGTCCCTACTCGCTCAGGGCAGGGAACATTCAATGAAAGTGTCTCAAGCAGAGTGTGTGTGTGTGTGTGTGTGTGTGTGTGTGTGTGTGTGTGTGTGTG